AATTTGCTGAGTCAGCATCCATGTAATGATATCATAGAGAACGTATTTGTAGAAGGTTGAAACACATCAGACTCTTTTTTTTTTTAATTTTATTGAATCACTGTGAGATAGTTAACAAGCTTTCATGTTTGGGTTACAATCACACAATGATCAAAAATCCATCCCTCCACCAGTGCACATTCCCCACCACCAATATCCACGGTATGTCCTCTCCCCTTTCCCACCCTCCCCCTGCCTCCATGGCAGACAATATTCCCCATACTCTCTCTCTCTACTTTTGGGCATTATGGTTTGCAATGCAAATACTGAGAGCTTATCATGTTTGGTCCTTTATCTACGTTCTGCACACATCTCCCATTCCAACTGGGTCCTCAAGCCATTATTTTCTTAGTGATCCCTTCTCTATTCCATCTGCCTTCTCCCCTTTGCTCATGAGGCAGGCTTCCAGCTATGAAGCAGTCTTTCTGTCCCGTGTATCTACTATCCTTAGGTGTCAGCCTCATGTTATATTGTTTTATACTCCACAAATGAGTGCAGTTCTTCTATGTCTGTCCCTCTCTTTCTGACTCATTTCACTTAACAGGATACTCTCCATGTCTATCCATTTATAAGCAAATTTCATGACTTCATCTCTCCGAACAGTTGCATAGTATTTCATTGTATAGATATACCAAGGTTTCTTTAACCAGTCATCTGTTCTAGGGCACTTGGGTTGTTTCCAGATTTTGGCTGTTGTGAACAGTGCTGCAATGAACATATAGGTACAGATGTCATTTCAATTGTGCTTTTTTGCATCCTCTGGATGTATTCCCAGAAGTGGTATTGCAGGGTCATATGGAGCTCAGTTTCTAGTTTTTGAAGGACAGTCCATATTGTTTTCCAGAGATGCTGGACTAGTGGGTATTCCCACCAACAGTGATAGAGCATCCCTTTTCCCCACATCCACACCAACACTGGTTGCTTTTGTTCTCTTGAATGTGTGCCAGTCTCTTTGGTGTAAGATGATTCTCATTGTTGTTTTGATTTGCATCTCCCTGATGACTAGCGAGAAACATATCAGACTTTTGACAATTGTATGAGTGTACAGGTCTTGAGTCCCTGGTAAAGTACTTTTTCCTTTGGGAAACAGCAACTCTCTAAAAGGTCTAAAATTATTATTATTATTCTTGAATCAAACCCTATCATTTCTATTGGGGGTGTGCTGGGGTAGTTGGTGCCACTCTCATGGTGCTCAGGGATCAGTCCTGGTCCTCTGGTCAGGGATCACTCTTGGTGGTGCTGGGGATTTAAACCAGGGTCAGCAGTGTGTGGAAGGCAAGAGCCTCAAGCCTTATACTATCTCTCTGGCCCTTAACATTATTTTAAAGTTGAAGAGCATTGTACCAGCAGAACCTGAAGTAGTTATCTTTTTGGCATAGTGTTTGTTGTTGTGTGCATGATTCAAAATTAGGCTTAGGATTGGGGGACAGTGAGGGTGGAGGGGGGTTGTCAGAGGGTGATTTAACTTGTGGGATCTCTGGGTTCACTCCTAGGCACCACATAGTTCCCTGAGTACTGCTGAGATCAACCTAGTGTACTGAACTCAGAAACAGCCCCTGACCATTGCCAGCTATAGACCAAAAACTAATTAGACTTATATTCAAAGTTATATTAAAATATCTTATTTATTCCTTATTAGATTTCAGATAGGGCTGGAGTGATAGCACAGTGGTAGGGCATTTGCCTTGCGTGATGCCGACCTGGCCGAGCTGGGTTCGATTCCTCCGCCCCTCTCAGAGAACCCGGCAGCTACTGAGAGTATCTTGCCCGCATGGCATAGCCTGGCAAGCTCCCCGTGACATATTCGATATGCCAAACACAGTAACAACAAGTCTCACAATGGAGAAGTTACTGGACCCACTCGAGCAAATCGATGAACAAATGGGAGGACAGTGCTACAGTGCAGATTTCAAATAAAAATAGCAACCTCATTATTAGTGGCTAACTTTTGTTATAGCATAGAGATCAAACATAATGGTTAACTATGCAGTTGCTGAATGAATTTGATAGGGTAAAAATATTATAGGATCATGATAATATCTCACTGTGTGTTATATTTTTACGTTCATTTCTTCCCAGTATTAAACTCAATTTTAGATGTAATAGAGCTATGCTTTTTACTTGAGTTATAATAAGTGGATATATTAGGATAGTTGAGACTTATAAAACATAATGATAATATTTAAAGTAAAGGTATGTTTCTAGAGTTTTATATTAACTTTTCATCACATATTTGTTTGTTTTGGGCCCACACAGAGTGGTACACAGAGCTTTCTCCTGGCTCTATGCTCAGGGATCTCTGCTTGTAGGGCTTGGGGATCATATGGTTGGCTGCATGCTAGGCAGGTGCCCTGCCCACCGTACTATTGCTCTCGCCCCTGGTTTTTAATTTTTAAACTCTAGAGTTCATTGTGTCACAATTCTAGGCAAGCACAATGAGCTTTAGAGGTCTCTTCCTAAGAGCTATGAACTGAGAGGGTGCTGAGGTGGGAGAATGGGACCCGAAATAATGGTCTCAGGATTGTGACACTCTAATGAACATGGTATCACAGCACTGAAAGTATAAACAAATAGTATCCATATAAATGTAAACTCTGATACCTCAGTAAAAAAAGATTTGAGAAGTAAAAAAATTTTACACAATTTTTAAAAAGCTATATTCCTATGGCATATTTCTGGTCACAAAACATCATCAAACTTTTAAATAAAGACACAAGACTTCTTTTATGAGAAATGATATATTTACTATCTTCCTGCATTATACTTACTGATTATAAGTGGGGAAAAGCATCTCCCCTACAAAGAAAGCTGTCAGATACCACCATCATTAAAGTTCACAAAATCTGTCATTGAACAAGGCAAATAGTTCCCCACATAAGAAGTGGTTACACAGTATTGCCTCTGATAGTTCTACCAATTTTTTTTTATCTGAAAAAACATCAGCAAAACCCAAATTTAAGGACATTCACCAAATAACTGGTTTTAAATCTCCACTAGTATCAAGGTCATAAGAGATAAGATGAAACTAAGGAAGGAAAGATGTTCAAGGAAATTAAAGATAAATGGTATCTAATAAGATAAATGTCTGTCATTATTTAACCTTGGATTCAGGGCTGTTTTTTTAGGAATGTGTTCTTTGGAGTCTCACAGTCCTATTCTTGGAAGGGTGCCATGCACAAAACATTTCTAGTATTAAATAATAATAAAAATAAAGGACCCTGCCTATTGAAGTCAATTAAATATTTAGATTGGGTGTTTTGATTAAAACATATGCTTATTGTTTAACATTTACAAAATAAAGTAGATAAAACCTTTCTGCTTCTCAAATTGTAAATGTCTGACTTTGCCATATTTAACTTGATTATCTGAGCTTTGAAGAGATTGCATAGATAAAAGCAAATTAGAGTAGATTATTTTTCCTTCTTTTAGTATTAATGATAAAGTAAATATTTTATTCCTTCAATTTAGACTATATACATGGCATAGTTGATAGTTTCATAATGAACAAGCACTAGATTGGCACATATTATTTTGGATTCTTAATGCTACAAAATGAATACCCACAAAAAGCATTCTGTATCACAATGGGATTTTCCTCTTTGCTTTTCTTTCATCACAGACTTTATGTTAGAATTATAAATCTATGTTATGAATCTAGGACAGTGGCTTTCAACCTAACTACAGAGCAGAATAATTGTAGCCTTTTTTCTTTTTGTTTTTGGGTCACACCAGCAGTACTTAGGACTTGCTGCTGGCTCTATGCTCAGGGATCACTCCTGATGGGGCTTGGGGGACCATATTGGGGGCCAGGGAGGGATTGAACCTGGGTCAGCCACATGCAAGGCAAGCACCCTACCCTCTGTACTATTGCTCTCGCCGATGATTGGAAGCCTTTTAAAAACAAGCCCCAGTCTCAGGGGTTTATTCTTTAAAGCCCACCAGGTGTTTCCTTTGTGGGGACAGTTGGGAACACACTGGTCTAGGGGAGCAAAGGCACAGCAATATGTGTCAGAAAAATCATTCTTAGTCATTAAATTGCAATGCCAGAAATAAAAGGGTAGAGGGCTGAAGTAATAGCATAGCGGGTAGGGCATTTGCTTTGAATGCGGTCGACCCGGGTTTGATTCCCAGCATCCCATATGGTTCCCTGAGCACCTCTGGAGTAATCACTGAGTTTAGAGCCAGGAGTAAGCCCTGTGCATCTCCGGGTGTGACCCAAAAATAAAATAAAATAAATAAAAGGGTAGAGTTTCTAAAATCTTGAAATAATAGTATTTATTATTATTAAAACTAGAATTTAGCCTAAAGAGAAGACCTTGACCTTACTTTTCATATAATTTTAGTAATTCTAGTTATGGGATTTCTGTGGCTGATAGATGAGAGGCAAAATGCAAGCTGTAGGCTGTTTAATAATAGTTGTTAGGCATAAACAACAGCCTTAGGTCTCAACGCAAAGTAACTGATAGACATATGACTTTCAGCCACAAGACATGGTATATTATAGTCAGTATTCTTCAATAAAAGAATCAAATTAGTTTCTGTGCACTTTGGAAAGATATTTTGATTTTTAAGTTGATTGAAGTTGAGACATGGGAAAGAGTTTATACTTGACATGTTTATCTAGATGACTCACTTTTATAGAATGATAGTGTACTCATTAGTAGTAGCAGAAAAATGAGGCAGTGTTTTGTTTTTAAAAATAAATGAGAAAAGCACAATTGTTTGGGTATCTCATATGTCATGCCCAAGGGACCATGTGGTGCAAGGGCTTGAACCCAGCTCTGCTACACAGAAAGCATGTACTCCTGTCCTTTGAGTTATCTCCCCAGCTCTGAAGATGGTTTCCGGAAGCTAATAATAGTGGTATCCATTTTAAAATCTTAAAAATAGCCAGATTGTCTCTTCTTTTCAGTTTCTGTATGCTTTTTCAAAAGTGCTTTTGCGTGCTTTCTCCCCCACAGCAATCTCATGGTCTCGGCAGGCCTGTCTGGCTGCAGATTGCCGAGTCGGCTTACAGGTTCACTCTGGGCTCTGTTGCTGGAGGTGAGTGACATGTCTCCGTGCTGTTCCAAAAGCTTGTGTGAATGTAATATTATCTCACTAGGTTGACACAGATCAGCAAAGGTGCAGCGCATTGTTCCCGCAGGACAGAACTACAGGGCTTTTGGAAGGGTCTTTATGTTTTGCCTGTGATCAAGAGGGCTTGTCATAGTGGGGCCTTGGCCCTGTGGGTTCCAGTCTGTCTTCAGGACCACGCCTCTGCAGTACTGTGACAGTCTTTATTTTTTTTCTTTTTTGCTTTTTGGGTCACACCCAGCATTGCACAGGGGTTATTCCTGGCTCATGCACTCAGGAATGACTCCTGGTAGTGCTTGGGGAACCATATGGGATGCTGAGAATCGAACCCGGATCAGCCGCGTGCAAACGCCCTGCCCACTGCGATTGCTCTAGCCCCACTGTGAGAATCTTGAATTCAGTGCCACACTCACTTTAATTCTACTGGTTATAGCCAGTAGAATGGAGAATTATTAGACTGTGTTCATGGAGTTGGGGGTGGAGACTAGAAGGAAATCAGAATTTGAGGTACAGCTTTATTATGAAATAAAACAAACCCTCAAAGTGACTTGCTTTTACTTTTCTTGTATTTCTTTCTTTGCACCTCTCACCCCTTCCACTGATTGAAGAATGTTTAGACTGGTGGTTCATTTTTTACAATAAACCTGTCCTTCCTGCTCCTAGCCAGAATTTGAGAGGTGTTTTTTTGTATTAATACTCTCGATAGAAAATGTATAGACTGTGAAGTTGTTTTGTTGAAAACCTAAAGGCGTGATTAAAATACTTATGATTGGACCAGAGAGATAGTACAGCAGGTAGGACACCTGTCTTAGATATGGCTGATCAAGGTTCCATACCTGGCACCCCTTACGGTCTTTCGAACACTGCCAGAAGTGATTCCTTGTGTACTCAATAGTAGTAGCAGAAAAATGTAAGGAGTAAGCCCTGAGCACTGGTGGGTGTGGCCTGAAGATCAAGGAATGTATGAATTAAATGTAAATAGAATCCTTATAATTAAACAAAACAAGTCTAAACTGTTGGAATGATAGATTTTTTCTTTTCAGTCTTAGTTTTAGAACGTACAAGGTATAGTTTGATTTTCTTCAGTTGAAAAATATAATGAGGTTTTTGTTTTTCATTCCTAAGAAATTCTAATGTATGGCCCTTTTAAAACAAAGCAAAATCAAAGCAAAATATATGTTGAGCTTTGTTCTAAAATTAGGATTGTAACTAAGGCTAATTTACAAAAAATGTTAGCTGAAATTCACATTTTTTTGGCGCAGAATGTACTTCATTGTTTCAGTGTATGTTCACTGGGATGAGGCCCTGGTTTCTATCCCCAGCACCTCTGAAATATTGCAACTCCCTGTATATACCTACATATAGATATATACTTATCTTATGGGGAAACAGGTATGAATTTAGGCATCTGATGGGAGTAAAGACATTCCTTATAGGTAATAGTTCACTAGCTTAGAAAGTCAACTGTTGACTGCCTAGTATTGCTGATGATTTATTTGTCTGCAGAAGCAGCTGCATTTCTAGATCCCAGAAGTACCAGGGACCCTTTATCTAAACAGTCTCCTTTTTGAGAGTAGATACTCTATTTTATCTTCTGCTCCTTTGAGATGAGATTTATTGTCCTGCTAATTGTGTTCCTTTTTAAGCCTAAAAATTGTTTTCTTGGTAGCTGTGGGAGCCACTGCAGTCTATCCTATCGACCTGGTGAAGACCCGCATGCAGAACCAGCGTGGCACTGGCTCTGTAGTGGGCGAGCTGATGTACAAAAACAGCATTGACTGTTTTAAGAAAGTCTTGCGCTATGAGGGTTTCTTCGGACTGTACCGGGGTGAGTAAGCGAATCTCGATTGTTACTGTTTGTGCTTTGATGTTCCCAGCAATGGATCTTAAGTCACTTAAAAGGAAAACTCAGTGCATAGCCGGCCCAGTCAGACTCAGGCCTTCTCTTTATTTTCTCATTTTCTTTTTACCATTCTTGCTGGTAACGACTAATATTAGTCTATAAACAAGACCTTCATTCCTTCTTTCTACTGTTTATATTTCTTGGAATCGAGATCCTACACTTGCCCCAACATGGGTCTGTGGTGCCAATGATCTTAGAAACTGAGGCACATGTCTGCAGGTGGACTACAAGGAGACAGATGAGTAATAAGAGCTTCTTTTTTAAAAGAAGGTATGCACCCCTTTGTGAAATAGAAACCAGTCTGCAGGTTGAAGGTGACTTTACCCTTTAGCCACTACAGAAATACTATGTTTTTGTCTCTTTTTTAAGGTGACCATTCATAAGCCTCTTCCAGTGAGTCATCTGAAGTTTAAAAAAAAAAAAGGAAGAAAAGAAATACAATTAATTAATCACAGTCAGTTATAAAGATTTCTTGGGATTGGAGTGATAGTACCCTGGGTAGGGTGCTTGTCTTACACACCACCAACCTGGGTTCGATCCCTGGTACCACCTATGGTTTCTTGAGCCCTGCCAGGAGTAATCCCTGAGCACAGAGCCAGAATTAAGCCCTGAGTACTACTGGGTGTGACCCTAAAACAAAACAAAACAAAGAAAATAAGAAAAAAGAAAGATAAAAAGAAAACAATTGACTTCAAGTCACATTCTTACTCCTTTCCTCCCCCGTAGTTTCTGGGTCCTGAATAGAAACAGACAGATTTTCTTTTGCTGGAACATTACCACCAACTCTAGGCTTAGCGTATGTTTTCAGAGGCCCCAGCCCCATGCAGGATTCTCCCCACCCCCATCGGCTCTGTAGGAACTTGTCTCTTTGGAAAGGGAATGACTTTCATGTACGTGTTTTCACATTAGAATTTGGGGTTTCCTTTTGCAAAGGAGATTAATTTTTTAATCCCTGTGGGCGCCACTTGGAATTCTTTGAAAATACTCTCTACATGCTCAAGTCCAGAGCATTAATGTAATTTACTGTACTTGTTTGTTTGCACACACAATCTCATTTATCCTTAGCTCATTCGAGCTCTGTTGAATTGTTTGGCTTAGAACATCTTCCTAGGACAGAAAGACAGGACCTGAACAAGGCTTTATTCTCATGGATAGGATAAAAACATAATGTGTAGATACTCAAGTGAAAAATACTCAAATGAATTGTAATATAACAATTATATTTCAATAGAAGGTTTTGAGGATATTCCTATTTGGGCATTCATATGTAGAATAAGAAGAGAGTCACCCTGAAATCAATCTAGGCTCATATATTATGTTGCTGAGAATGAAAGTATTAATTTTATTCATTCATTCGAAACGCTAGCTCTCCTGTATTTTAGCTATATAGCATGTGCTCTGTGTGAAGAGGTAGGCACAGTCCTGAATCTGGTGGGTGCGTGTGAATACTTGAAACTGTGTTGAAATCTGTATATTCATACTTAAAAGGAAGCTGAGGGTTGAGAGGACCTAAGACCTTACCCCCACCCCTGCCATTTTAAATCTTTCTTTGTTGAATCTGTGTGTGTGTGTGTGTGTGTGTGTGTGTGTGTGTGTGTGATACTTCTAAAAGGAATAACTTCAATTGCAAGGAATCCAGATATATACTGCACAGTTTAGCCATTTCAGTGATGGCTGCTTACAGATACTCACTTAAGAATATTGTATTAATTAGGGGCTACACAGGTAGTACAGAAGGCAAGGTGCTTACCTTGTACACAGCTGACCCAGGTTCAATCCTTGGGACCCTTAAAACCTCCAGGAGTGATCCTAAGGACCCAGGAGTAAGCCCTGAGGACTGTCAAATGTGCCCACAAACAAAACAAAAAAAGAATGCAATGTTAATTAAGTAATACAATATAGTAATATAGTACATTAGAGCAGAAGGTCGAGAGATTGTTAGTTTTATTCATGATGAGAGCAGATAAAATCAGGGTTTTTTTCTTTTTTTTTTAAGAGTTGGATTCTTGTATTAGGGAGATGATTGTAGAAGTTCTGTATGTAAATACTATGATTATTGAGATTGTTATATTTTGCTTAGAACTGGTCCATTATTCTGTCAAATGACTGACAAGATTGTTGACAGATTAGCTTAAATTTCTTTACAGGCGCAACAATGATAAAATGACATAAATCAGTAGTTTATTAAATTCCCATGAGCCTTATTGAGGCAAGTTGTGAAACACATATTCATGCTGACATAGTTGTATGGGAATTAGATTAAAAGTAATAGACCCTGATAATGATGAGGGTTAGAAAGTTAAGACTGCCATCTGCTGATATGTTCTTTTAAATCAGTCGTCTACAAATTAAAGGTATGTGTGGATTTGTGTTTGTCATTGATAATTCATTTTGACTGACAGTAGCCTGTATGTATGAAATTACTTGCTGGCTCTCAACTCACAGAAAATCACTCAGCAGTATCCTCAAAGTAGGCTTAAGATCAGCAGTGAGTGTACAAACACATACCTAACCCCCTTGGCTGGGTGATGTAAGGGATAGAAAATGTTTATTGTTAGCAGTGTATAAAATGTATGCAAAAAAAGTATGCTAACAATTTGGATAATCTGTGTGCTTTAGTGAGCTGAGTCCTGTGAATATCTACAGATGTTGCATTTTTAATATATACGTATTTTTTTTCCAGTTTGCTGCCTGGGAAATTTAATTTTCTAAGTAAAATAATTATTTCCTTTGTTTTGGGGGATGGTTTCAAAATGTCTTAAGTTTGATAAATATTAGTACACAAAAATACAATGGGCCTATACTTTTTTAGAGATTCTTTTAAATGATAGTTAGAATTGACTTTTTAATTGCAATTGAGCTTCCTTATAAATGAGTGCTGACTCTTTACAATACCAGAAACTGGAAGAAACCTGAATGCCCAAGAACAGATGACTGGTTAAAGAAACTTTGGTACATCTACACAATGGAGTACTATGTAGCTCTTAGAAAAGATGAAGTCATGAAATTTACATACAAGTGGTACAACATGGAAAGTATCATGCTAAGCGAAATGAGTCAGAAAGAGAGGGATAGACATAGAAAGATTGCATTCATCTGGGGGATATAAAGTAACAAAATATGAGATTAATACCCAAGAATAGCTGAGATCAGCACCAGGAGGATTACTCCATAGCTTAGTGGCCAGTCGGGCATTCTAGAGGAAAGGGCAGGTCAGACAGAGAAGGGAACACCAAATAAAGGGTGTTTGGAGGACCCTCCCAGGAAGGGAGATGCATGTCGAAAGTGGACTATGGACTGAACATGTTTGCCACTCAATGCCTCTTTTGCAGACCACAACACCCAAAAGGAGAGAGAGAACACAGGGGATTGCCCTGCCACAGAGGCGGGGGGGGGGGGGATGGAGGGTTGGGGGTGGGGGGATATTATCCATGGTGGTGGAAAATGGGCACTGGTGGAGGGATGGGTATCTGATCATTGTATAATCAAACCCAAGCACAAAAAATTGTAAATCTACAACTGTACCTCATGGTGTTTCACTAATAAAAAAAATTAAAAAAAAATAAATGAGTGCTGAATTCTGGGTTTCTCTAAGGAGAAAATTATGGGAGTTGGTGTTCTATAATAATCAACTCATTGGAAAACGAAGCCCTAAAAGAAACATGGTTAAGAAATGGATATAGCCTCAAGAAAGCCTAAATGTTATATTGGGCATAAATTATATATATACATATGTATGTATACATATATATATATACAGAGTGTTTAGAATAATAATTTTTACATTTTATTTTTTGTAATCTTTAAGGAATTTTATTTTGTTTTGTTTTGGGGCCACATTCCATGGTGCTCAGAGCTTATTCTTGGCTCTGTGCTCAGGGACCAAAGAGGGCTGTCAAGTGTAGCGGGCTTGGTGGACCATATGTGGTATCAGGGATAGAACCCGGGTCGGGTACATGCGAGACAAACACACTGCCCACTGTACAATCTCTTCTACCCCAATGTATTTTCTTTTTCATTTTAATTAAAACCGTAAAGTGTTTGATGCATACATAATATGATGAAATCCTTTCTTTATATTTATGTATGATATATTTGTATTGTTAATAATTCTCTTTGTTTATCCAGGTCTGATACCACAACTTATAGGGGTTGCTCCAGAAAAGGCCATTAAGCTGACAGTAAGTTTGTCATTGATTTTGTTATTTAAATTAACATTAACCCAGAAATTAAAATGGCATCTTTGAGGCTGTCAGACTATTAAAACATTTTAAAGTTATATGTGTATGCTGGATAATTTTAATTTTTATCACAAGATATTTTTGTTGTCTTGGAAAAGCAGTAGAGCAGATTATTGGGAATTCTGTTTAACCACTCTTGTCTTTCTAACTTAGGTTAATGATTTTGTTCGAGACAAATTCACCAAAAGAGATGGCTCCATTCCACTTTATGCAGAAATCCTTGCTGGAGGTTGTGTAAGTATTAATTTGGGTGTTTCTTATGGAAAACATATTCCTTTAGTCCTCTGCATGTAGATCTACTATCTGAGTAACATTCCTGAACTCAGGAATTCTAAGATATTCTCAACAACCATATGGAATGATTTTTAAATTTCATTACATAATCTAATTGGTTTTGACTTTAGAAAAGAGGTGGTATTTTTATCAACTTGGTTCCCTCTACACTTTAAAAGTTCTAATTTTGAAAATATAAAAAAAAATGTAGTGTGTGTAGTATATATTAGCTGGAATTTTAACTTTGTGTGGGAATATTAGTATTGGATTAATAAAGTAATATTGGTCTCTTGTCTTTTAAGTGTAGGACTGAATAAGCCATTGTGATAAAATTACAATTTTCCTTCAGTAGGGACCAAGAAGTATAACTAACAGCCATAACTATGTTGAAGATAACAGATAATTCTTAACACAGGGATTTACTTGAATTATATTTAGTAAGAGAGATTAGAGCAATTTCTATCTTTAAATGTAGTATGATTTAGATGTAAGTTTGCAGCTCAACTAATTTATTTGTGGTGTCCATTTCACGTGTGGTAATAAGCAATTTATTTAAGTCTTAGTTACTCCAGATTGTTCTTAAAACCCTTAATAACTTCCAGTTGAGTTGGCTGACAGTCCCGGCTAAACCCTCCTCAGTTGTATGGAACTTGAGGTGATGAGGTTAGTGACCTCTGAGGCTTTTAAATCAGAGAAGATGGCCCGAGGGTCAGAGAGAGAAAACTGCTCTGGATTCCTCTTGATGAGATTTGTCAGCCCTTGCACATACCTGGGTTCCTCACTTTTCTGCAAACAGAGTTCTTACCAGAGTTCTTACGGAAGAGGGAGAGAGGGAGAGAGGGAGAGGGGGAGAGAGGGAAAGAGGGAGAGAGAAAGAGAGAGAGAGAGAGCAAGAGAGAGGAGTTTAAATGCTGTCATTATTTCTTGTGTAATGAGAGAACTTTTTTTTTTGCCACTCAGATATATAAGGAATTTACTTTTTCATTTGGTTATGTTTTTAAATTCAATTTTATTACAGTGTAGGCATATCTTTTCCAGAAATATCCTGGGTGTGCTCTCTGGGTTCCCTGTGGCTAATTATTTCTATTTCATTGGTGAAGGTTTTTGCTCCTTCCCATGTCTAATACGTGACCTAACTGTTAAACCATAGTCAGATATTTGGTGCTTTTGTTTTCTCCAGGTATGAACCCTCTTTCGGAGTTTGAACTTTGGGGGTTTCTCTTGAAGTCTGAGGAGCTTTGAGGGTTATGTTGACACTCTAAATCTCTCTCTTAATTATGACTCATTTCTGGAAGATTTGGATGAATTGTCTAAAAATCGACAGCAGGAAAATAGATCATTCTGGACACTTAAGCAGAAGGACTAGGTAGCCTGCATTTCTTCACCTCAAACATTTTCTGCTTCTCTCTTCCTAAATCTCATCATTCAGAGAGATAAAAATATATTGTAATGATTGAGTTTCTTCTTACTTAGTTCAGGCACACTATGTATGAATGATCAATAGAGCATCACCTGCTACTTCTCCCAGAAGTCCATGTGGTTGCATAGAGATTGAAGTCTTAAATGAAAAGATGAATCTGTGTATAATTTTGGGTATACTGGGCACTATGGCCAATCGGAATGCTCTATTTCCTGAACCAATCCTGGTAAGCAGCTGCCAAAGAAACACTGGGAAGAGGGGGCTGCCGTGAAGCTGACCTCCCCATCTAGGGGTGGTGATGGTGTGAAATGAGGGTCCAAGAGCCCTGTTGGCTTGAGGGTTCTCAGTTCCAGCAGGTGAGAGAAGAATGCTGCTGTTCTTGCAAAAAAAAAAATCTCTCTGTCAAAGGTGGTGTACCTAATGTAGTCATCGAATACAGGTCAATTAAATAAGTGGTTCAAACTTAGTGGCCAATGTTGGCTTTGTGGGAGTGTTTTCCCTAGTAGAGGACCATCTGTGCTTGAGTTCCTTGTGTATGTGAGGGAAATTATGCTATTCTGAAATGACTCTGCCGCTGTAGGTAAAATGATGGACAGTCACTAGATCTTGAAATAACCAAGAAAGAAAAAAAAAGTGGTCCGTATCTATCGGCACTTTACCTTTTTTATTCCACTGTATAGATAGTAACACATTTTGTTTTTAGATACTGTATGCTTTTTCTGTTGTTCTGTTTAATGCTTTTTTTTTTAAAGCATCTGATGTTTGAGGGGCTGGAGTGAGAGTCAGCAAGTAGGGCACTTGCCTTGCACTTTGCTTACCTGGGTTTGATCCCTGGCACCCCGTATAGTTTCCTGAGCCCTGCCAAGAGTGATCCCTGAGTGCAGAGTTAGGAGTTAGCACTGATCATAGCCGGGTATGGCCCAAAAAACAAAAGTAAGAAATAAATAAAAAGGATCTGATACATGCAAAAAATAGTAGACTGGTAGTAATTACATCTTAATAAAATGAATATTATATCCATCCACTCACTTAAAATATTAATGATATCATTAACATTGTTTTTTTTGCCTATTTTTTTTTATTGGGGAGGGTTCCCAGTGATGCAGTGCTACCGAGAAGCCACCACGATCACACTGGATGTTGCCATGAGGGCCGTGAAATGCCAGGGATTGAATTCAGGATCTGCATCTGCTCTGCCCCTTTGAGCTTTCTCCTCAGCTCCTGGTTTTCACTTTTGTTTTATTAGTCATTACTTTTTGGTTTGGAGGCTACATTGGGCAGTGTTCAGCAGTCACTCCCAGTGAGGTGGGAAGAAGGACCTGCTGCTCTTCAACCCTTTGTGCCATTTCCCTTGCCTCTGGTTTTTTGTTTTTAATGTAACTGTAATTTGAAGGATTGCTAATGAGCAGTTGGGACTCTTGTAACTGGGACGAACATTCTATAGTCATTATCTCATTATTTTTAATCTCAGTGAAAGGAAATAAAACTACAGTGAGAACTAGTACTTAGTAGATAGCCAACAACTGTCAATTCAGGCTGCTTTGCTCTCCGAGTTTATATTGATTCATATTTGCTATCTTTCATTCACTCACTCTTTCCTGTGTTCATTATTTGACTCAACAGCCTATCGAAGTTGAAGAGTTTAGAGCTCCTATCTTTCTTGTGGAGAACCAGAATTAGGATGTGCTTATATCGCACAGAGAAAAAGGATAGTTCCTGATTATTCTTACCAGATGAAACTTAATCTTAAATGCAATCATATTCCACTGTGTAATTTGTGTGTAGAATTCCTTATCATGATTTGCATCATTTCTACGTATCACCAAAGAAAATATGTGCTTATGATTATAATTAATCATAATAGCTACCATTTCTTGAGCATCTTGTACTGGGATGAAAACTTCGTAGACATTAACTCATTATTATTCCAAACTAGATTTGAAGAAACTGAAAGCTCAGTAGTATCAGTCCTTGGTTGATGGAAAATACTGAAATTCAAACCATTTTAGTCAAACTTCTTTTCTTTCTTCTTTCTTTCTTCCTTCCTTCCTTCCTTCCTTCCTTTCTTTCTTTCTTTCTTTCTTTCTTTCTTTCTTTCTTTCTTTCTGCCTTCCTCCCTTCCTCCCTTCCTCTCTCCCTACCTTTCTCCCTCCCTTCCTTCCTCTAGGATTGAACTTAGGGTCTCATGCATACAAAATGTGTATTCTGCCACTGAGCCACATCCTGGCTGCTCCATTTTTCATTCTTTATTCATTCATTCTCAATGAGTACCCGCTGTGTTTAAGAAGAAATTTAGACTATTTTATTTATACATAAATTATGGAACATACAGTTTTCCCTACATAAAGATTATATTCAGTGTTTTTAAAAAAATAAAATTGTGGAACCTTTACCTTAACAATATAAAACTTTTTTACTTAGCAAAAGAAGCATGGTAGCCTTCAGTCATCCATATCAGTTTGCTCCTACTCCCCTTGCTCAATGACTAATCAACTTTTTATTTCAATGGGCCAGAAAGATAGTGCAGCAGGTAAGGCACTTGCCTTGCATGTGCCTGACCTCAATTTGATCCCTGGCACTCCATAGAGCGCCCCCAAGCACCACCAGGGCTGAGCTCTGAGTACTGCTAGATATGACCCAAAAACCTACCAATCAGCCATCCACCCCCCGACCCTCTCCCCAAAACAAAACAAAACAAGACTTTGTATTTCTGTAGACTCACCACTTCTGTGAATTTTATGTAATGGAATAATCAGTGTGTGATCTTTTGTGACTAGGTTCTTTCACTTTGCATATTGTTTTCAAGGTTCATCCATATTATAGAATTATCAGTATTTCATGCTTTTTATTATCAGTATTTCATGTAATATTCCATCATATAGATATTCTGTGGGATGGAGTGATAGCACAGTGGGTAGGGTATTTGCCTTGCACGCGGCTGACCTTGGTTCGATTCCTCCGCCCCTCTCGGAGAGCCCAGCAAGCTGCCCTACATAAAAAAGAATTTATGTTTTTATTTTTTTAAAAACACTGAATATAATCTTTATGTAGGGAAAACTGTATGTTCCATATCCGCACAGCAGAGCATGGCAGGCTACCCATAACATATTCGATATGCCAAAAATGGTAACAACAAGTCTGACAATTTGTTCTGAGACGTTACTGGTGCCCACTCGAGCAAATTGATGAACAACAGGAGGACAGTGCTACAGTGCAGCGCTATAGATATTCCATATTTTGTTGATCCATTCAACAGTTGTTTAATTTTGGTTTCTTTTTCCCTTGGCAATTATGAAAAATTTTGCAGTATGCACTCATTGATAAAATTTTGTGTGGACTTAATGTTCTCATTTTTCTTGGATATATACTTAGCAGTCCTAACCTAATAGGATTATGGCAACTTTTCATTTTGATATAATGTAAATTATGAGGGACTGGATCAGTAGTACAGCGGGTAGGTTGCAAGCAAAGCTTTCCATTGCACATACATGGTTGACTCGGGTTCAATCCCTGGCATTCCTTATGGTCCCTTGAGTCTGGC